AAGAAATTTCTATGCTGCAATCATTAAAATCGTATATTTGTTTTAAGATTAAACAATATTTGTCAGATATTTGGCTTATACGATCAAGCCCTTGTACGTATTTTCAACAAATTGTGCTTTTGCGACAGAATTTTAATGCCCGTTCGAGTCAATAGAAAGAACTTCGATTCGAAAGGATTCCTCCGTATATTTTTAACGCGTTAGAAGCAGAAATCGTGTTCGAGGCAATAAATCTGGTAGTTCGCGGATATTTACGGTTCCCAAGGAGGGGACTGCCTCGATATTCTAAATCGCATTAAATTTCTATGAGCTCGCTAGTGTCACTCGCCGTGGGCGGCCGTTGTAAACACCCTATCCTTTCCACCTTTTGTTCCATTGAAGCAGCTCACGTCTAGCGATAGTGATAAATATTCCTCTGAGGATAACGATACGCAGTTTGTGCGAAGAAGGAATATAGACTTCCGTTCCGTCCCTTCGACGCGTAAAATGCGCACGTTGTAACGATGCGATTCGGATAAGCGTCGGCACGATGACGTGATACCTTTGGGCTATATTTTAACAAAAAAAAATCCCGTTTAATTTCGCATACTGCCGCTCGGATATATATCCTAATCACTTGAAAAGGAGTTCGATCGGCGACATTAATTCCTTATCAGCAAGAGAATTGAGTTCAAGGAGCGATGGACTATAATATGATACGTTAGCGCAGTTTAACTGTCCTAATGCGATTGCTATCAATATGATCTTATCCGCTACGATATTACATTATTCTGCACCTATTATTCGACAGTTTTTTTCTCGTAATAACGGAATTGTGCGATTCAACGAATGCTTCACGTTTCTTCCTTTTGCGATCGGATTAAAGACTCGCGTCAGACGCAAAAGAAAATAATTGCAATACATTGAATAGGAAGATTTATTTGTATTTTATAATTTCTTTTCTTCTCTCATTCTTTTGTTGAACGTTCTTTGAAGTTAATTATTATCTCTCTGTTATATATTAGCGACGGTTATATTTGTGACGTTACGCTGTTAGCGTTATGTATGGAGTCTATTCAATTTTTACATTTCCTGTTATTTTCCGACCGAACGATTCTCGTATCTTTTTTCCGTTCCGGGAGGTTGCAATAATTTCGATAAAATCAAGAATATACCCTGTCGGTCTCGCAGTTTACCTCTTTATAGAGCGTCACTTTATATAGAGATGAACTGCAGACGATTCGAATAACTTTGTGTTTTACGACAGCTCGTACAAAAGCCCGAATCGATGTTTCTGCTTAATAGAAGCGGAATCGAACGGAAAGTGAGTTATAGATGAGCGATACTCCAGACCTTTTTCAGATAGCCACACGGATCATGATTGATTGAAATTACGCCACTTGCGTCCTGATGGTATTATCTATCGCCCACATACGTCCGACTTGTACGAGTTCAATTAAATTACGACATTATGCAATATTGTAATGAACGAAAGAGAATATTTGGAGTTTGGACACACCCTTCCATGTGCGTACGAGTTTGTGTACATATAAGTTGGCCGGTTGATTTGCTAGTTGCTTTGACAACGCGTTGGTACGCTTTATTAAAAATTTGGCGAAAAGAATTTAATAATTTCTGCGACCATGAGAGAATTACGTGGCACTTTTTAGATACGTTTTACATTCCACAATTTATTTGACACGAGAAGTTGTAATATTGTTGAAGTTTATAATATTGCCAAAGCACTACTATTATACTTATACTATTATACGCGAATGTGGCGTGTGTGAAGTTAGCACCCCAACATTAAAATTCCATAGCTCTGAGTAGGATTCCCGCTTTATTTAATGAAGCGGAATTTCATAATTTCATTATAAATGAAACACGAATCAGAACTATGGAATTTTAATGTTGGGGTGTTAACTTCACACACGCGCAAATGTGCTTTATTCACTTGCTCGAGGTAATTAATAGAGCTTAAATATCAAAAATTAAAATTCAAAAAATACGCGAGAGTTGTAAATGAAATTCATACAGCGTCCTGAGTATATTTAAAGTATAATATAACAACGTTCAAGATAATACAATGTTTGAAAATACACGTTAGATATTACATTGATTATAGGAACTTATCTAAAAAAAAAAATGTTCTTCATATAGAGATATCTTATATACATCCTCTTTCTTAGATATGGGATATTTTATATTGTGATTCTTTGATAAAATATTTTGACAAAATGACACGGAATTTTTTTTATACAGAAGTCGTTGCTGTCTATAAAATAAATAGGAGGCTATAAATTATCTCCGATCGCGTTCTGAGATAAAATATAAGAATTTTATATAATATAAAAATATAAAATATAAGAATTTTATATGATTTTTTCTTTCAAATTCAAGTTTATTTCTGTGGTTTATATTCAATTGACCATTAAAATAATGTTTTCTCGCATTCACATAAGAGAGATTAATTTATGGAAAATTCCAATACAGTTGATTAATTTGCTGGAAAATTCCAACACAGTTGACGACAAAGTTCCCTTTTCATCTATTGTAACTTGAAACTTCTGTATGAGACGTAAACGCGCAATATCACCGACACGTGTTGCGTCCCGTATAATCAACGAAACTTCAAGGAGGGTCGATCTCTTCTCACGTCCTTCATCGTCCGATGAAATTAGGGTGTCATTTGTCACGGTGAATAAGAACTTAAATTGCAAGCGTGACTATAGAAGAGAGAATGCGGAAGAGATGAAAGAGGAAGGGATCGTAGTAAATTGTTTGTGAAAAAGCTATCAGTTTATCGATCTTCTTGCTCGCACGTGCGTATACACGATCAGTGACCCGAAATTTCTTACATGCCGCGATACGCATGATGAAAACAATTTTGTTCGAATCATTAGATCGTATTAATAAAATGGGGCAAAAGCCTATTCGCACTTTCATTTGGCGAAAGTAGAAAAAATGAGCGAAGCGTTCGCTTACCGGAAGTTACGATATTTGTCTTTATAAGGTATTTCTCCTTTGTCACATTATCATTTAACAACCAATCCTTTTGACCAGTTTAGAATTTATTTTTTTTTTTTATCGAATATATGTTTAGGTTAATAATTTTGAAACTCGGTTAAAACTTCTTTTGTAATCTAACGTCACACAGGCAAAATAAAAAATATAAAATCATATTCTCCACAATTATTATAAAATAAACTTTAACTGAATTTTTATCTGTGTATAATGTTGCGAGAATATATAATGTCAGAGACATTGGAAAAGATTAAATAATATTCGTCTTAAATATATTTACAAAAAAATATATCTGCAAAAAAATGGGCCACTAAAATGTTACTGGCTCGTTTTTTACTGGGTGAGTATATTTTCTTTACAAATGGATTGCTATTTAATTCAAAATTTATCATTAAAATGTAACGCTGAAAAATTGAAAATAAAGTAAAAAAAAAACTGAAATTGAAAAAATCGATGTAAATAAGAAATCTATAGACTGCAAAATATTAATAAATACAAGAAATGTGAATTCCTTATGTATAATAGATATTGATATGATATCGAATAGATATCATATACTATGTTTACATTTCAAATTTCTCCCTTAAAACAAATGCTTTCTCTTTCTACCACTTTCCTAAAAACGTTAATTTTATTTTTATGGCCCATCTGAAACAGGTATATTTAGATGGGAATTAGACTGTTGCCTGTCTTAACGAGGGGATGTAAACTTCTTCATGGCGAAACTTCTTCATGCGTGTAATACGTAAAATGTATTTAATCTGTTTGCTTAACTCCTTGAGGGTCAGCTTTTTTGGACATTTGTGTTATATTTACATACATTACTTGACTCAATGATTTCTGAAATTAGAACGTTATTTTTATATTCGGTTTTATGAAAAAGAGAAAAGCAATTCTCATCATTTTCTTGAAAATTTGCTATTTCGCGTGTTTATTATATTTGCATTTTTATAATATTTTGTTTATTATAAAATTTATAAAATTTTATGTATATATACATATATATTATATATATATAATTTATTATTATAAATTATATAGAAGAAAATGGGGTAAAACGGACTCCTAAACGAAAAATCTATTTTACTTGCATTATTTGGAACAAACGGTTTAAATTTTACATGAAGAAATTCTCTCTCTCTCTCTCTCTCTCTCTATTTGTTTATCTCTATCTTTCTTCTTCTTTTTCTTTTTAATAAGATTAGAATAAGTAATTTTTCAAAATTTATTAAAATTGTATTTTTGTTCAATTTTTACAAAACTTTCTTTTATTCTATTTTACTCTATAGATAGGAATTACTTCATAAGATAAAATTAATTAAGAAGTAAATCAATTGATTTATTTGAAATCAGTATTTTGTATTACATGTAAAGTATTTTTACTAGAAACAAATAAGTTCTAATATTAAATATTAATTTAATATTAGAACGTATATAATAAATAGTCATTATACGTTTATAATATTTGTTAGACAAAATATTAGATGAATGTGTTGCTAATAATAATGCGTGCACGTATGTGTATATATGTATTATCATTACTTAAATTTTTATTTAAAGAATGATGTTTAATATTATAAAAAAAGATAAAAATACTAGTAACAAAAACGCGGTTAATTATTATAAATTTAAGATCTAATAGTTATCCAATGCAATTAATACCTGATAATTAAATTAAATTAATTAAAATATTATACGCTACGTTTGATACATATAAATGAACAATGCATATAACGTCTGATGACAAACGCAATGCTCGCGTAAATTCCAGAAAAAAATATATTACTTAAGAAATACAAGATATAGGTTTCTTGCGCTGCATGTGTGTCAGTGTAATTTAAAAAATGCTACATAATAGAAATACATAATAGAAATTGAATAAAAAAAGAAAGGATTGTTTGCCTGCATTTAAAATACTTAAATAATTACATTTAAATTATGCGTATTGCATATACAATTTACTTACACATATAATACACATAACATCAAACACATACTTGCACGAATTTTTCCTCTTCATTTATAGAAGTTTAATTTAATATTTGCGCTGATTTTGCGATCAATCATTGTTCACGTGATGTTTTATGTGGTGATTTTTTTTCAATCGTCGAGCGATGCAATGTTGAGGGGACGATAGCCGGTGAAGGACTGACAGATTTTCGCGTACTTCAGCCGAGTCCTTTTGAAATTTCCCACGCGCAGGCTCACGAGGGTGTCAGGCGCAGAACGCACGGGTGTTGCCCGCGCTGGAGACGTTCTGATGTATACAAAAAAAAAAAAAGAAAAAAAGACCGATAACACACCTTAACATCAATACGCGCGATAGATGACGGAGAGATTAAAATGCATGCTACGCGTATTTGTTAGCGTCAGACTCGAGAGGACGTCCGATACTCCGCAATATTGATCGCTATCGTTATACTCTAATTTTATGTTTGCGCTGTATGTAAATTCCGTCGTATTATTCTTTTCAACGAATGATTCTGCTTCCGAGGAAAACATCATGTTTGTAGCCTTTGAATAGTCGACGATTGAAAACGTCAAACATTTCGTGATAAATGCTTCCATCAAAATTGCAACTTTAATTTCGAATAAAATATATTTTTTAACGAAATCACAATCTGAGGTTCAGTTGCTACTTTACCGCTATAAAGTAGCAGCGAAAAGAGAATGCGAATATAATTACGATGGTTCATTAACGCCGATTTGAGACGAATTTTGAAAGTTTGCAACGAAGAAAAAGTTACGTTTATTTCCTTTCTTACTTTGTTACGACATCGTATTGAAAGCCTTAGGCACCGTTGATTAATTCCATTCACAGAGAGGAAGGAAGGAAGGAATTGTCGCGTGACTTTGCACTAATGATCGGGTTTAAGCTCGGGCCGAGCGAAGAACGAGATAACTTCTCCACATCCGTGTGCCCTTACCCTCTCTGTCCATTTCCTGATAAACCTCGGAAACGTTGGCGGACCGACCACTCGAGAGGACACAACCGATAGAACTTGGCGAGTTAGTGCGAGTTCCACTAATCGATATGCTGAATTTCAGGGATCGGTAAAATAACTGATACAACTTATTTAAAGTAAGAAATATAAAATAGATTCCAGAAACTTATTTAGAATAAAATATCGCAGAGGCCAATAAAAAACTGATACAACTTACTTAAAATGAAAAATATAAAATAGATTCCAAAAACATATTTAAAATATTAAA